TGACCCCCCACTGTCCCCCCTCTCACTCACTGTCCCCTCCTTCACTGTCCCCTCTCCCTCAGTGATTTCTCCCTCACTGACCCCTCCCTCACTGACCCCTCCCGCCTTCCGCTTCCCCCCTCGATGTCAGGATTCAAGGCTATCCACTTGATGGGGAGAGGTGAGCTCTCAGTACAGACCCTGGAGAGATTCACCCTCCCCAACCCAAGGTATGTAGGACCCTGAGAGAGAGAGAGACAGAGAAGAGGGAATGGGAGGGAAAGAGAGAGAGAGAGAGAGAGTTTGTGGTAACAAGGAAGAGATAAATCAAGATGGAGGCTGAGGGAGTTAGTAAAGAGAAGTGGGGACAGGAGGGAGAGAATAAAACAGTGGTCAGAAGGGAGGTGAGCAGATCGTGCAGGGAAAAGAATAGACTGTCTGATTAGCTTTGTGTCTGACTGTGTAACTATCACTGATTCAATATATCCCTGTGCAATTATATCTCTGTCTAACTGTTCCCTGGTCTGACTGACAGCTCATGCACCTGTGTACCTCTGATAGTTTGCCTGCACTTCTGTCTGGTTGTGCCAATACCTGACTCTTCCCCTGTGTGACTGTCTGACTGTGTTCTGTCTGCTCAGATTGTCAGATTGACCTACAATCTAATCTCCTGAGGGCAGCGTATCTCCATGCACTCCTCTGTACCACTTTCTCACTCTCTCTTTCTCCCTTTCACTCATCTGCTCACCACCTTCACATTCTCTCTCTCCACCGTCTGTCTCACTTCTCTCTTTCCTCCCACTCTAACTCCTTTCACATTGTCTCTCACTCTCCTACCATCTTCCCCATTCCCATTTCTTCCACTCTCCACCCTCTCTCCCTGCCTCGTTCGCTTACACTATCCCTCTCTATCTGCCTTTCCCCCAACCACTCTCTCTAACTCACACAGTCTCACGCTCACTCTCTTCCCCTGTGGCTCACTTGCTATCTCTCTCACACTCTTCCTCTCATCTGTCCCTCCCTGTCTCTCTCTCTCTCTTCATTCCCCCTCATATCTCACTCATTCTCAATCTCTCTCCCCCTGTCTCTCATTCACTCTCATTCTCTCTTACCCTGTCTCTGACTCTCACTCTCCCCCATCCCCCACCCTTCCACCTCCCTCCCCCACCCCGTCTCTTACTCTCACTTTCTCTCTCCTGGTCTCTGATTCACTTTCTCTCACATTCTGCCCCTGTCTCTCACTCACTCTCTCTGTCTCTCCCCCTGTCTCTCTCACACTCTTGCTCCCGGTCTCTCTCTCTGTCTCTCTCTCTCTCTCACTCTGTCTCTCACTCACTCCCCCTGTCTCTCACTCACTCTCTCTCTCTCTCTCTGGTGCAGTGTACAAAGTGTGATGAGGGAATACCTGACCGATGCTGGTGAATTAACTATCAGAAAGATGATCAGCCAGAAACTAGGTGAGTGAGCGAACTGCACAACATCAGATTTGGCCCCACTACCCTGGGCTGTCTCTCTCTCCCTCTGACTCTCTCTCCCTCTGTGTCTCGATCCAGGGTATCTGTTCCTCAAAGAGTTCTGCTCACAGCATGTGCCGCAGATGCTGGTTCTGTTTAATTTCTATGACCAGGTAAGACAGAGCTTATCCAAGGACCATTCGACAGCGCTCCCTCAGCACTGACCCTCCGACAGCGCGGCGCTCCCTCAGCA